TTTTTTTTTTTTTGGTAAGAGAACATTTATTTGGTAAATCACAGAGGTAGAAGAAGTAATTCCTACAAGAATGGGCTTAAGAAAGGAGTTATGGAGGTAAAGGAAGGGCCTTTGGAGCTTGGGAGTGAGGAAGCTCATGGTACAGTGCCTGGGGCAGGGAGGGCTTGCTCCTCAGTCCTAAGGGTTTTAAGGTGGAGCCTTGCTCTCATGATGACTGTTGGTGAGAAATTGGGACAAGGAGAGCAAACAAACACATAGAAGTAGTTACCTGTTTTTTATTTCCTCTCTCATTTTAAGGCAGTAAACTGTAGTATTCTTCTAGTCCCGAAAGTTCCCTCGAAACTTCATTTTAAAGTCAACTGCATGTTCCCATGGAAACAATGTTCTAATTAGTTGGTGAGTGGAGTCTGACCAAGGACTTTTGCTGAATAATTTACTGGGGTGTTTACTCTGTTCCTGGAACTTTGCTAGCCACAGGGCTATAGAGGCAAATAACACTTGGTGTCTCCCTTCTCTTGGGACTCCAGTCTGGGAGAGAAAGAGATGTATTTAATATTCACTACTTTGGCAGAAGTGTTGTATTGAGAAATGTCTAGTGGGGTTTCTAAAGTATTAGTGATTCTATGAATCACCTGGGTTGCTTGTTAAAGTACAGTGCCTGGTGCTAAATCAGAAATACCTATTCATTAGATCTGTGGTAGGGCCCAGTAATCTTTTTTATTTTTTTTTTTATTTTTAATTTCCCTGGATGGTGTTGATGGAAGTGATCTACGGATAATACCCAGAAATAGTGTGTTCTTTAAAGCATAGGGAGTTAGGAAGACGGCATAGAGGAGTTAATTCTGAAAGAGGGTATTGGTTTCTTTAGTTTCATCAGAAAGTGGAGTGTGTGTGTGTGTGTGTGTGTGTGTGTGTGTGTGAGAGAGAGAGAGAGAGAGAGAGAGAGAGAGAGAGAGAGAGAGAGAAAGAAGAGAGAATGAGAGCAAAAGACAGAGAGAGAAGGCTACGTGGAGTATTCTGGGGTAATGGAAGACTTGGGGGTGAGGCAGACCACCTTGTAATAAAAATTGTACATGACTGGTAGTATTTTACAATAAAGGACAAATAAAATACACCTCTAATATTTAAAAATAAGCAAGTTCTGCTCTAAGTCTCAAATAGTCAACCTAAATGTACCCTATATTTTGATTACTAATAAGGACATCAAAGGGACAAAAATGAGGCTGTAGTATAAATCTCTCCTCAAATTCATGTACCAGCATAATTTGCTTGCAGACTAACTTTCTGGACTTTAGGTATCTGCTTTGAATAGCCTACTCTTAAAAAGACATTTTTAAAGAAAATTTAAATTGCTAACGTCTTTCCATCTTGATCATTTTTCCTGGCACAAATGAGACTTTCAGAATACCTCAGTTGATGGGAATACGGAAAGTACCAGATACCAAAGAGGTAAAAAAATTGTAGAAAGCCCTAACCGGTTTGGCTCAGTGGATAGAGCATCGGCCTGCGGACTGAAGGGTCCCAGGTTCGATTCCGGTCAAGGGCATGTACCTTGGTTGCAGGCACATTCCCAGTAGGGGGTGTGCAGGAGGCAGCTGATCAATGTTTCTCTCTCATCGATGTTTCTAACTCTCTATCCCTCTCCCTTTCTCTCTGTAAAAAATCAGTAAAATATATTTAAAAAAAATTGTAGAAAGCAATGAGACATGCGATGTGAGTCTCAATTATGCAATATAAATTGGGTGCATCAGTGAGAAATAGGTAAATTCAAGGGGTTACTTATATATTAATTAAGCAGTTAGTATTATTTTAAAATCTTTTATTTGCTCATTTGGTTGATATATTAAACTTGTGGATTTTTGACCATTTTACCAGGTTAATTTGGTAATAATTAATAGATAAGTGCTTTTAGAGAATTCTTTTTGTCACTCAAGTGTTTTTTGTTGTTGTTATTTTAAAATCATGGTTAAATTATATGTCAACCATTAGTTTTGAGGTGCCATGTGATACTATTATTTCAAACTACCAAAAGTACATCTTTACTTGACTTAATAGTACTATATGTATTAAATGGCATGTTTTTAGAATATCTGTTCTATATATTTCAAAGCAAGAGAATTTCTATTTTTAAGGTGGTGGTTTCTACTTTAATAAGTATAATCTTTCATATTATATTCTGCTGCACAATTCAGATTCTTCTCATCTTATTTTTTTAAGGGTCTGAAAAGCCCTCCAGAGAGCCTCAGTGATCTTGGTGCCATTGAGAGTCTCCGCGTCCCTGGAAAGGTATCGATCTACATGTGTGAGCATGACTTTTCGCTTCCTTAAGAGAATATTATGGTCTTTGGGTAATAACTGATTCAAAGATGCTTTTCCTTCCCACAGTCAGATGATGGTTATAGTAAGCTGGGTACATTTTATAGTGCAGGAGGCTTGGGGCTCATTTTTGCTTCTGTTACTCATTGGGATGAAGTATAATTCATTATAGTTAAGCAGCAAATGCAAAGTTGACAAATTTAGAGTTTACTATTATATTAAATTCTTAGCCTGAAAGCAGTTGTGTGTGTGTGTGTGTGTGTGTGTGTGTGTGTGTGTAAGTGTGGAGAAAAGATTTTAAACTACAAATAAAATTTATGTTAAAAAATATAGGTCTGTTCAGATTATCTATTCTATCTTGAGTGTGCTTTGGTATTTTGTATCTTTCAAGGATTTTTCTCATTTTATCTAATTTGTCATATTTGTTGGTATAAAGCCTTTCATCATATTTCCCTCCTATCTTTTTAATATACATGTATATTAAATGTCATCAGTGGTGGTCAGTGCGCATCATAGTGACCAGTCATTCCCCAGTTCAGTTGATTTGCATATTAGCCTTTTATTATATAGGATATATATATAATCTTATGATTTATCTGCTGTAATTTGGAGAAATAAAATGAAATAATATACTTCTGTGCTGAAACACTCTGAGTCAAAAATCATAGTTAATTATGTTTTTGTTACGGAGGAGAGAGTTTTAAATAAGTAGCTAAAGCATAACTTATACCAAAGTATAGATATCTTAGAATTTAGTCCCCTGATACTCATTTGAGCTGCTCAATTTATAAATTCTGTAGGTGTTTTTGAAGGCTCGCTGGCTTCCCCTCAGGAGATTTATTAACCATTGTTAAGTAAATAAATCCCTGCGGGTTCTCTCTGGGTCCTTGCCACTTGGAGCTGCCTCCTTGAATAGCAGCACCATCACAGATTAAAGCTTGTTCTTCTGAATGTACGCTCTTGTGATTTTCAATTTGTGGATCATACGTATTTGAAACGATTGTTTGGTTTCTGTGGCTGCCATTGGCAGTCAGAAGGCCTCTTGTCACACCTCAGTGTCAGCTGCTTACGAGGATAATCCCCCATCTCTTTGAGGTGCTTTACCTCCCAAAGTGAATTTTGTATTTACTGCTTAGTCTTTATTTTAGGTCTGACCCAAACTAACTCTCCAAATATAATAACATTCTAGCCAACCTTTTTCCATTAAATGGCTCAGACAAAAACCTTAAAGAGGCATTTTGAATAGTTTTTTGTAATGTAGTAACATTGGGAACTAAGAGATAAACTGTAAATCCTAATAGACAAATAATTCTCTTTATTTCTTTGACCTAAGAAATAAAGATTATCATGCATTATGGTTATGCATACTTTGAATTAGATTGCCTTAGATATTTCATAATTAATGCAAAATTGATAACTGAGCCTCTTTTTTTTTTAAAGCACATAACTGTGTTGCCTAAGAACTTTCTGTTGTCTTTAAAACATGAGCCATGATATTCTTCCAGTAGTAATAGGAAGTGAATTTATGATGCTCTTACTATATGGCCTTCTTACTGAGTTCCCACCCTTAGCCCCCTCAGTGACCAGTGGTGTGTACTTTTCAGATGACTGGCGCTGGGTAGAGAGACAAGTCTGGGATCACAAGGTCAACAACTGTAAAGCCTGGGAATTGGTCTCATTGACACATACTAAGAAGCTAAGTTAGTTAAATTGTAAAAGTTAATAGTAAAATCAGTATTAATGCTCTAAGCTTAAGTTTGGCCTTACACTAAGAAAGCCTTATACGCTTCTTGTGCCTGTTTGTTCTCTCCTGAAACATCACAAGTGCTGCAGGGTGAGCCGACTGCTGCCTTCTACTCTGGGTAGTTTTGAGAACTTCAGAGTTGTGGAGTGGCAGAGCTCTAGTTAGTAGACTAAGTTTGATATAGGTGCAGTTGGCAGTCAGTTCTGAAATTAAAAGTTAAGAGGACTCATGTTCAGAAATTTCCTACACAGCATAGTGTGGGCTAGGGGAAATTTTCCCCTTTTCCTTCTCAGTTCTTCTGGCTGGTCTGATCAAATTGACATGAGACAGATTAACAGGAGGAAACAATAACATTTATTAAGTTATTGGATAGCTTAAGAATATGGGACTGGAGGACACATGGGGCAGTTGAAGCTTACATGACATCCTGAGCTAAGGAGAAAGGGGGAGTAGCGGTTGGGACATCAAAGGGCAGGAAGGTAATTCACGTTGGGATAGCAAAGCAAATGTTTGGTAAACAAATGTTTGCTGGGCCACCTTTAACAACGGGACACGGAGAGGGCTGCGGTCAAACGGATCTTGCTAGGTTCCTCCCTGTATATTACACTTTGTTCAGATTAAACTCAGTCATCTGTCATGATAGCTCCCTTCCTTAAGCAGGTCCTCTATTTACATTCTTTTGAGCAGTTAGGGGGAAGGTCAAAGTGTCTTCCTGACTCTTTCATTTTCTTAAAAGTAACGAGCTTAAAGTAATCAGTATCCCCAAAAGGCATGTTTTAGGGTGGCAAACTCTGCTCCTCTCAATAGCTTGGTATAACTTGAATGTTGAGTATTTTTCATAACTTAGATGTTACCTTATAAGTAGGATATATATATATCTATATATATATCTATGTATCTATCTATATCTATCTATATCTATATCTATATCTATACAGTGGGGTTTAATGAATCCCCTAAAATTATTTATCTTATAACTGGAAGTTTGTATTCTTTGATCAATATCTCATTTCCTCCAACCCTGAAATCCCTGGTACCCACTATTCTGGACCCTATTTCTGTAAGTTTTGCTTTTTTAGATTCCACACATAAGTGATATGATACAGTATTTGTCTTTCTCTGTCTGACTTATTTCAATTAGCATAATGCATTCTCCATGTGACAAATGGCAGGATTTCTTTCTTTCTCATGGCTGAATTTTACTATTTCTGTGTGTCTGTGTAACATATTTTAATCCATTCATCCATTGACTTAAACTTAGATTATTTCCCTAACTTGGCTATTGTGAATAATGCTGCAGTGAAAATTGGACTGCAGGTATCTCTTCAAGATCCTGTTTTTATTTATTTTATATTATATGCCCAGAAATGGCATTGCTGGGTAGTAGTATGGTATTCCATTTCTAATTTTTTGAGGAACCTCTATACTGTTTTCCATGGTGGCTGTACCAGTTTGTAATCCCACCAGCAGGGTACAGGGTTCCCTTTTCTTCACACCCAACCAACATTTATCTCTTGTCTTTTTTATAATAGCCATTCTAACAAGTGTGAAGTGCTGTTTGTTTGTGGTTTTGATTTGCATTTTTCTGATGATTAGTGATGATATACATGTTAAAAAATTTACTTTTATATAATTGCTTTAAAATTAATGTTCTGGTTCTTGATGATCTGAACTTTATTGGCTTAAAAAAGATCTTTAAAGTTTCAAATTATTAAAAGCACTGAAACAAAATATAAAATATTAATTTGAAATGACTATTTTAAAATAACATTTTTATTTAATAAAAAATTAATATGTAGTGTGAACAGAGAACATGGTAATCAGAAAAAGTACCAAAAAAGAAAGTCACCAGTGTTAACAGTCAAGGTTGACATCGCCTTCTGGTGTTTTCCCTGTGCATATTCAGTAAATTAGTTGAGCATTTACTATGCGCTCCGTTCCCTAGGGACTGGCAATAGCAAGTAGTCTTTTCCAGAAAACAAAAGTCTTCTGTTGTCAGAGAGCTTACTTAGGTTCAAGTAGAGGGAAAACAGTAAACACAGAGATTGCAAATTGTGACAAATTCTATGAAGAAAATAGGGTGATGAGATAAATTTCATGAAGCTGGGGGTTATTTTGCATTAAGTAGTCAGGGTAGGAAGAACCCTCTTTTTATTTGTTTAAAAAATGGTATTATACAATGTTTTGGAGCTTGGGTTTTAAGCAATAAAATGTATTGCAAAAAAATGCTTACATTATATTATAGTAGTATATATAGGTTTAAAACGCAAGCTACCCAGTAGTGAAGCTTAGGTAGGTATTTTTTTTAACTTAATAATAATTTATACCTGTTATAATGGCTGTTAACAAAAACACAAGGAATAACAAGTGTTGGTGAGGATGTGGAGAACAGGAAACCTTGTGCACTGTTGGTTGGAATGTAACTTGGTGCAGCCACTGTTAAAAAACATTATGGTGGTTCCTCAAAAAATTAAAAAGAGGACTACCATATGATCCAGCAATTCCACTTCTAGGTATTTATCTGAAGGAAATGGAAACACTACATTCCCACGTTCATTGTAGTATTTTACAATAGGCAAGATATGGAAACAATCTAAGTATCTATTGTTGGATGAGCAGATTAAAAATATACACAATGGAACATTATTCAGCCATAAAAATGAATGAAATTTTGCCATTTGGGACAACATGGCTAGGCCTTGAAGGCATTGTGCTAAGTGAAATAAGTCATACAGAGAAAGACAAATACTCTATGATCTCACTTTTATGTGGAATATAACAACAACAACAACACACACACACACACACACACACACACAAGCTCATATATAAAGAGACAGATTGGTGGTTGGCAGAGGTGGAGAACAGAAGGTGGGCAAAATGGGATACGGGTGAAGGGAATCAAAAGGTATAAACTTCCAGCTATGAAATAAATAAGTTAAGGGGATGTAATGTATAGCATGGTACCTATAGTACAGCAAGAAAAAAATTCTGTAACTATGTATGGTGATGGATGTTAACTAGACTCATTGTGATGATCATTTCATAGTATTTACAAATATCAAGTTATTATGTTGTATATCTGAAAGGAATATAATGTATTATCAGTAATACTTCAATAAGAAAATAGAACATTATCTTAGCTTGAGTTCCCCTGATATTCTAGTGCAAGAAGTAACAAGAAAAAACAGTTTAAGCTTTTTAAGTAGTCAATGTATACTTATAT